ATTGTTCAAGGGGCATACCTCTATCCAAAATGGCTAAATTTCAGTATAATATCATAATATGTGCAATCTCTGCACAGATAGTGAACGAAAACTGCATATAATTGGAATTTTTCTAATACCAAGGGACATAACTCTGTCCAAAACGATTCGATCGAACCAAAAACAGAACTTGACCTAGATATTCTTATGATAAATCTGTATACTAAATTTCGTTTCAATGTGTGCAATCTCTGCTAAGAAAATGAAAGGAAACTGGTTAGGGACAAACCGACCTAAAGACAGTCAGCAGCAAAGAAATATGCCGTCCGTTCTTTGAAGGGGGATAATTGAAATATGCATACGGTAATTAGCTTGTCACCTGCACCGGTAAAACACTTGCTATCGCCTGTGGCGGTGTATGCAGTAATTAGTGACCATTCACCTGGTTCTCAACTATTGTGGACTTTTATTAATGGATGGCTTCAAAGTTTTTTCAGTGAACATCGTTACAGTATAATGGTCTTTTATCTTTGAATCATTATTTATTACTAAACATAAATTTCATTTTTTGAAGTAAAACATAAACTCGCAAGATATCCAGCTTTTAATGTAATTTCTTGACAAGGAAAAGGATGATACGAAATTGACACCCTTCCCCCTCATTAATGTCCCAGAGATGCTCTTTGTTGTTATCGTTTTATTTACTAGTATTTAGAATGTACAAAATATAAACAATTGTTATAATCAAAGAAAACAAGACTGCATGAAAACATTTAATTCTTTATTTATCATTCAATATATATTACTTTGAGAAGTTGAAAGTCTATAGTCTTGATATTTAATCTACAAATCAGTGTAAATAGCCATTTCATGCCAGTAACGACACAAAGCCAGTAAAATCTCTGATTGAACCAAATTGAAGATCCTTTCACTTTCCAGTTTGAAGCTATGACGTCTCGATTTCCCGGAATTATAATTTCCGTGGTCATTTCGTGATTACACCACTTCCTTTGAGATGTGACCCGATGGTAGAAGTCAAGTTTCTGTTTATTGAAACTGTCCTTTGTTTTCTGGTCTCCTAACAACACTAAATGGTTAACTTTCACTCTCACCAAACTTTCCGGAGGTAAAGCTAGATCATTAAGTCCACTGGATTGGTCAACACAACGTTTGAAAATAAATGTCTCGGACTCCTCGTAATCAACAACCTTCACTACGTCTGGGTCTATCTCCGGATTGTGAAGGTGAACAGCAGAAAGGATGCTGTTTTTATGCTCATAATGCCAACAACGGACTGTAAATTTGATGACTGGCTCCCTGTATGTTAGGCTGGTAAGTATTTCCAATGCTGTTGGTTCGTTCGAATAATTTTCCACTAAGTATCTATCACTGGATACAAAGTGTTCTAAGACCAAATGAAAAACTGAGTAAATAATCCCTGTTATTGAAAACATCAGATTCAGTATCCCAATTCCATAGTTAATTCCATACTCGGTGATTGACGTTGAAGAGGTCGGGATAGCTTGAGATATTAAATCAATCCCAGCTACGAAGACGTAAATCCAAATGAACAAGAACACGGTGCTTTTGATGGATATAATGTTAAATAACAGTCTATATGTTTCCCTCTTTTCTGTAGCTGCTTTATTGTTTTCCAGTTCTTCACTAAACTCACCTGTTGGCACAGTATCGTTGTTTTCCTCGTTATTCATCTTTAGTTGATGCCTCCTCAATACAATTTTCAAAACAACATATGGAAGCATTACTTGGCTGCTAATAGCCATAACAAGTGCAAATAGTATCGTAATGAGTGTCCCTACATTCATTTTAGCTGAGGGTTTTATAGGAAAAATATAACGCATACGTTCTTGAAACTTATTACATGCATACAGTGCCTATGAATGACATTACTCGTAAGAACAGAAAACGAATCTTCATTTTAAAGATAAAAATTTGTTAAATCTTCATATCAGTCAATGAATGTTTTTTAAACTTAATTTTGAAATATTTCTGTTTAAAGAAACAACACTGTGTTTTCGCCAATAAAGGGCTTTGGTGCACACCTTTATCATGATAAACATTCTGTAGAGGGTCTGTCTATTTATCGAGAACAGATTGTTTTGTGGACGCCCTTTCCCTTTATATTATTCACTTTACCTAGCCATCAGATACAGGACTTTTAAACGCCTTTTGATCAAATGTTTATATATGAAATAAAAACAAAGACTTGAACAAAACTACACAATTAACGTTAATGTAGAGGTGTTTTGCAAGATTACAGAAAAGATAGCATTTATTATTTTGTTGTGCATAAAGTCAAGACGATTTACTGAAATTTAGTTTAAAGGTAAAACATTTCAGTATTTAATGTAAAAATATATATACACCAATACTAGATAAATAAAATTACTAAATACCATCAAATAATTATACACAAAAAATAATCTTTTGAAAAGGTGTTGCTACAGTGTTATATGACGTCTGTTAAATGACATTTCACTGGCCAGGAAGGTGTCTCCTTGCATAATCCGCCCGTGCCATGGATTCCACCACGACACGTTCCCATACAGCCCGTTCAGGAAGGCTAGGTCACACGCCGCGAACCACCAACCGCCGTGTAGCCGCGCGGTACAGTTGTGGTTGTCGTTATAGGGAGGATCCGATGTGTAGAATATCTTACCACTAAGGTTAGCCTGTGGTAGGCCTAAATTGTCCATCATCATATCCCCTATTTCAATGAGGAAAACAACAACATCAGAGTTTATACTGTAATTATGGAATATATGATCGTGTTCGCTCATACAAGAAAATATACATGTATGTGAACTCCATAAAGCAATGCAATTAAGAAATGAATTTAATTCAAACCAGAAGTCTCTGTCGAGACTGTAGCTCTACTGGTTTATACTTAAAACAAAGGAAGAGAAAAGTAGCAGTTGGGACTTGAGACTTTAAATCAGCAATAAATAGAAAAATGATCCTTGCCACTCATCAAAATAAAAACCAATGCACAGAATTATGTATCTTAGTGTAGTCTACTTGTGTGCCAAGTTACAATGAAATTGGACCAAAACTGTAGGAGGAGTAGCATTTTGAAAGAATTTCACAGAAATTTCTATTTTTAGTAACCACGGCAACACCGTTCATCGAAATCAAAAACCGATGCACAGAATTATGTATCTTAGTGTAGTCTACTTGTGTGCCAAGTTATATTGAAATCGGACAAAATCTGTAGGAGGAGTAGCATTTTGAAAGAATTTCACAGAAATTTCTATTTTTAGTAACCACGGCAACACCGTTCATCGAAATCAAAAACCGATGCACAGAATTATGTATTCTAGTGTAGTCTACTTGTGTGCCAAGTAGTATTGAAATTGGACCAAAACTGTAGGAGGAGTAGCATTTTGAAAGAATTTCAAAGAAATTTCTATTTTTAGTAACCACGGCAACACCGTTCATCGAAATCAAAAACCGTTGCACAGAATTATGTATCTTAGTGTAGTCTACTTTTGTGCCAAGTTATATTGAAATCAGACCAAAACTGTAGGAGGAGTAGCATTTTGATAGAATTTCACAGAAATTTCTATTTTTAGTAACCACGGCAACACCGTTCATCAAAATCAAAAACCGATGCAAAAAATTATGTATCTTAGTGTAGTCTACTTGTGTGCCAAGTTATATTGAAATCGGACCAAAACTGTAGGAGGAGTAGCATTTTGAAAAATTGTTTACAGACAGACAGACAGACAGACAGACGGACGGACGACGGACGAATCTATTCTTCTGGTCTCTGAAAAAAAAATTAAATTCATTTCTTATATTTACATTATTTTTCTGATGACTTGCCATAAATTTACGCCGTTCAACTTTCATTTTTAAAACAAAACAGTGTGCACTATATTTTTGATTTTTTGACGTCAAGAGTGGTATTATGACGTAACAATGGAGATATTCATGTTTATTCGTGATACATACCTAATGTAGTTCATGAGAAAATATACTGCATTTTTTTTTTGTAAAGAATCATAGGGGAAATTTATTGGAAATGTAAATATATTATAATATCTAGTCTTTAAATGAACTTCTCCAGTACATCGTATACATTACATTTATGCAGTTCCTAATTCTTATGAATATAAAACCAGTACATATCTGGATAAAGAGACAAAAATGCATTTACCAAATTGTTGATATGCATATCCCGGGCCACCTTAAGATTAAATTCTCCTTTACCTGCGGTTCCATTAGCTGGACCACCTAGTGTAAGTCTGTAACGAGTTGACTTGTCATCCACAGCAAAAGATCCATAATCTTCGTACCAAGAGTGTCCCTCCGTAGAGTTAATAATAATGTGGAGTCTAGTGTTATTTCTTTTGGTCAAGGTATGTAAAATCTCGTTGCCTACAGTTAATTGATAATGATAAAATCTGTCGATTTTCTAAACAGACATCGATATCTCTCCGTTATTTTAAAATGTGTGTATCAGAGTGAATATCATACATGTCAAACGTGTTCAGCATACCTAGCCAGTATTCAGACCGAGCACTTCCAAAACCGTTTTGGTATTCTGCCCATGTTCTGTTAAAGGAAACTGAGCCATCGAAACGTTTTTGAAACACCTGTGAATTAAGTAATGTAAAAAATATAGACGACAGTTTTATACAGGTCAATCCGAAGAAGAATGAGGACAGTTACATGTATAAGGCTGCAGGTTGAAAATCGCTCACCGTCCATCCTCCGGGAGGGATCTCCATGTTACAGAACACCTCCAAAGGACGCGACGGGTCCCTCCAGGGGAAGATAATGTACACACCTGACTCTGTCCACCCACTCTGATACACGTCCCAGCAATCAAACGGGGCGGTTCCTGGAAGGAATGCGTCATCGTCCAAAACATAGTGTTTACATTTTTGTCAAATTGGAATACTGCATGAATTTCCCGCTTACCTGTCGTGGGAGACGTGCTGATCTGAATTCCGTCTCCACCTGCAAATATTTTGAATATATAATTTTTTTTAAAGAAATTTAGATTTAAAATAATCAATTTTTTTCGTTCATTAAAACAAATTTTTATTTCCGAATTTCAGTAAGCTAAAGGTCAATAAAGTGGAAAATTCACATTCCCAAATGTACATCAGTTGAAAACTTTACACATTACTTGAATACTAAAACACCTTTCATATATTTAAAAAAATACGCATTTCAAAACAGTTCGTATTAATATAATTAACATACATTTATTGTTACAGAGATCTGTTGAGCAGCAGTGGTTACATACACTTTTCTCGGATCTCTTTCCAAAGATTGAACCACTTCCAATGTTACATTCCTTATCAAAATAGCATTAATTCAGTAGTTAATTAATATGGTAAATAAATTCTTAGATTATTTTAATGTACATCAAGAAAAAGAGTCCTTACTTTTATAATCTTTCCGAATTAACAGATCATTATGATCATTAAAAAACATTGTCTGAGACTTACATGTTTATTAATACAGCTTGTTGTATAAAAAGTATCGCCAAACTCGTTATTTTCTTGAATATGACAGACCTGTCAAAATCAAATGTTGTACATCAAGCAAAGTAAGTTTTTATATACATGTATCTTTTTTCATTTAAAAACTTTTACTTTTTGGATTTTACAATTTAGCTTGGTTTTTGGATGCAATCTTTAGTCATCTGCATGGAATAAATATATAAATTATGAAATCTAACATGTTTGCGTAAAAAAATAATCTTTGCTTTAAATAAAGAAATGTTGAAGAGAGAAAATGAAACGCATAAAGCACACCTGTAAGGTAGAATCTATGTACACAATAAACGTCCTGTTCATCATGTATTCCTTAGTGCGGAGCCTTCATGTATATTCGGTATTTACAGCTATTGAGAAGTTCTGGTGGATCCGTAGTTGATAAAACAATGGTTATTGCTGGCGCAAAAGATACTGAGTTAAAAAAAAGATCACTGATGGTAAAAACATGGTGGACAGATAAATTAGATTCTTGGGTTTTTTTAAAAAGAAGAATAAGCTTTGTCAGGTGAATGAACAGAAAAGCAGCGAGATATCTATTCGATTTCGACAGACAACCCCTGGAATTTGTTCAAATTGTAGAGAACATGAGGACAAAAGATAATTTCCCTTCCGAGTATTCTATTAAATTTGATCGGATTAACTTGTCAATTAGATCGTGTTTTAAGTGGTCATTTGATAATTGTACCCCTTGAGGTACCAAACAAAATAATGTATTCTAAGAGAAATCGAATATCTTTTAATCTGGTCTTTGATACCAACGTTTTTAGCGTGATAAATGCAAATAGAAGTGAAATGTGATGTCATACAACGATTGGTAAAAACACATCAATTTGAGAAATCGAAAACATTCTTGTTAAGATTTTTAATTACCAAGTACCTTATTTTTAAGACCCGAGGATCGGAGGACCTTAAATAGTTGGGTGCATTGTCTTCAATCTGAAGATATTAACCATATTCGGGGAAATGTGCGAAACCGTCCAAAAGTTCTCCTCTTAGACGTCTTGGTTTGTAACACTGCATTGATGTTTCCTTTTCTAACACACCGCTTTAGATACATCCAAGTATCATCTCTGCATGTTTGGCTTGAGAAGTTCTCTCCAAGATAAGGCCTGGCCTCCATCTTTTGTCTTTCTTATCCACATCGTAATCTTTTCATCATGTAACTGATCCCCTGGTAAAGCCCTATTCTAATCCTGACCCCAGGGGTATGGATTGAATTCACATATTTAAATCTACACTGTTTAAAAACCCATTATATTTAAGTTCCACTTTATGGCACAGTGGTTTGTGAAAAGAAAATTGTTGAAGTTGCCAGAAAATTTCACAAATTCAAATTATCAGCCCTTGAGAGACTAGTATCTTTCTTTGAAGAAATGAAAAATGTCGAGATAACGAACAGTATTCGAGATCAGAAGTCCATTCAACCTACGTTGCTTTGGGGGAAAGATTGTCAGAAATTGGTCCACTACCTGGTTTTGGAGAAATCAAAACCGAAAACACGCTTACAGACGACACACGGTAGAGGAACGACGAACATTCTTGAGCTTTCGAATCAGGTGAGCTAAAACCTCAATCTTTTGAGAGAGAAACCGTGAAACAGTTCTTACCTGATCAGGAGCGCATACAACTGCTCTGTGACACAGCGTAGGGTCGGAAATCTGTCCACAGTTAAAGCATAGGGGACCTCGTATGGCAGGATAATCTGGGGATGTATACATCAACAAAGGCAATATAAATCTATTTTAAGAATAACATTAAAAAATATTACATAAATATTGCATGTAGTTGAGTGTAACATTGAAAATTTTCACCCCAAGAAAACCATTGTCAATCGAGCCGCAGCCGAGGTTGACAATGGTTTTCGAGGGGTGAAAATTTTCAATGTTACACTCAACTACATGCAATATTTATTATATTATACTGAATGTTTTATACAAATACATATAACAGTGAACCGCAAGCGCATAACTTCTGCGCAGTCGCTTTTTTTGGAATATCACCCGTCGTCAAGCAGTGTTGACTGTTGCTACGCTGGAGGGCGTGGCTTGATTATTCAGGAAGTAATAGTGTTTTTTAGCAAAAGTTTCTCGACCAATCAGATTCAACTAATTTACATGAAAGTATAATATGTATTCTTGTTTGAATTGCATGAAATTAGCAGTAACATCATACCCTGTGATCCGCAACCATGGCTGTTACACGCATCCGTCTGGCAACATTCAACGCAATCTGAATTGTTCGTGACAGACAGAGGGTCGCCGGCCGGTGTCGTGCTAATATTGTCTGGACACATCTACAGAATACCTACATTTATGATTCTGTTTCATCTGAATAATATTTTAATGAATACCTTTTTTAATTTTTTCGGGGTCCCATATGGCAATTAGATTAAAATCGGACAAAGCCACTTGATTGTACTTGATTGTTTTAGCGTAGAAGGCCTATTTAAAAATACTCTAAAGATCTACTCTTTTCATTCACTGGACATCCTAAGAAATCAGTTTAAATTCTTAACTTAAAAAAGCAAAAAATATCTGGAACAACATCTGGTAATTGGCATATAGTGTTTTCCTAATTATTTTATAACTTTAATAACTTGATTTTAATCTTTAATTTTAGAAATATCTTTCCATTTAGGTTGCATTGTGAATGCTACTCACTGATTGATGGGTACAGCTGCTGTCGTAAACTGTCACTCCGTTTATTGTGGTGTACTTTCGGGTGAAACAAGTCTAAAACAAAAATTCAGACAATTGTATACTTAGTGTGGTATTCATGATACAGAGTTGTCGAAAATATTATAATTCATAGAATGGAAATCTCACTTCTCCGACATCACACTTCTGAATCTGATGACAGTGTCTGGGAGATACGCTCTCCGTACAAGAAAGACAGTACAGGCTATCTGAAACGAAAGTATATAACACATAGAGAAATGTAATTTGTCAAAGATATTCTTTTTAAAATAAAAGGTATCCTAGTTGTCTTTATC